CGAACGCTATACGCGGTTGGCAGCAACGTGTGATGGGAACTAGCTCTTGCGCAGTAGTTACCCCAATCACGCGTTTATGGGCTGAAGCACTAAATCAAGACCTAAGTGACTTTTGCGCACACCTTCTATAGTAACTATAGAGGGCCTATCCGATACTCTCTTTTTGAACGAAAAAAGTAGGCTACTTTCTGAACAATTGACGCGTCCGACACGAAGCATCGCAAACTCTGTTCTCCTCACTTATGGAAGACGGGCCAAGTTAACGGATACTATACGAATGTCCCCAAAGACATGCATATCGGCGGACGAGAGCACTGTGAAGCCAAGCAGTAACCCAGCGTTCAGAGAGCATTTTGATCCAAAGCTTCAGAGGAAAACTCACAGGAGTCTTTTTTCGTGGCAGTGATTCCCGCCAATGTCGCCTACTACGTCGTCGTGCTTTCCACAGCCTCCCACATGACTAGCGCTTATTCAGGTGACGCAAGAATATGGTGGATGGCCACAGGCGTAGTCATGACGTACAAACTCATGGCCCCTTCATGCCTACGTGACTCCCTCCGTCCGATTCCGGGCTGCTGCCCTCTTCGTCCGTACGAACGAACCCTGTTAGCAAGGAAGATCGATAGCAAGATGAGCAGCATTCGGGCAATTTATACGTGGAGCTCTGATGTCTCCACGATTCATTGTTTGGGAAGCAGAATGGTCGTCCGAGACTGATCCTTGCAAGTTGAGTCAGATACCAATTCGAAAAAGTGTTGAATGGTTCTTCTTTCAACTTCCTTTGAAGAGAGCAGCACTAGTATCGTTTCCCGTTGCCGCGCTGAGCGAAAAGCCATGGCATACGGGTTGCTTGCTTCAAACGTGCTTCGTCTGGGACAGTACCGCGGACACAAATATTATGGAAATATGGAGTTGGAAGGCGCTGTAGGCGGGGATGGCGGTGCGATGAGTGGTCGAGAGAGTGATTTCAAAGGTGTAGGGGAGACAAACGACGCTGTTGAGGCGTCGAGTATATCCCCTTGAGGATTCTGGTGGTACCACACGAAGGGTAGTGTACCAGATCACATAATCGTTTGCCCTCTTTCATTTTGACGTAGCGAAGATCTTCACATGTGTGGGCAGTAGGGTCGCGTATGTGTTGAGCCATTGCAAGAGCCGCTGAGCCAACGACTCCTGAGCCAACGACTCGCAAATATTTTCCAGGTCATGTGGGCACAGAAGGCGGTGCTGCAGCAGGGATGCGCATGCTGCATCATCGACTAGTTTACTGTAATTTATGCAGAGGCGAAGCTGTCCTGACTCAGGACAGCTTCGACTCCTGAGGTGTCCGGACACCTCGGGACAGCTTAGGACTCCTGAGGTGTCCTGAGAATGTTGGGCAGGGTGGGATACTGTACAGAAGTCAGACGTGGACACCGGTGAGTGGAGGCTTGCGCACAGTAGCACTGTGCTACTCACAGGACGTGAAGCAGGGGATACGGGTGCTTGGGGATCGGTTTTTCCGTTAGTAGCACCGCCAGTAAAATGCAGCCTTGAAATTATAATACAATTCGATATTCGTTGCAAAACACCACCACATGTTGCGGGATGAGAGCGAAGAAAGAGTTTGCCTGCCCGTATGATTCCGTGAACACCGATGGCCCTCACTCCCTCGGGGAGAGGGAGGCCGGCGTTGGCATTATTCTGTTCTGTGTGGTGTGCCTCAAGGGCTGTGTGCTTTATCTACTGCTAGTGTATCATCTGGATGGAAGCACAGCCCGCCCCACTTTCTCCACTTCACTTATTCCAGCATTCCGCCATCTGCACTATTATTGCATCGCTACGTGTCCTGTGTTGTAATGCCTCATGCAGCACTGTACTAATGAGCCCTATTCGTCATCCGTGAAACTGCAATGTCACTACAGTACATTGTGTGTATCCCATGACCCCAATGACCACACGGCCAGATAGGGGACGAGCTCGGCCATCGCGGCCTTCGGCAACGTCTTTCGGGCTTCACCATCGCTCTGTGCTTCTGTCCAGCCCTTAAACACGCCCTTGTGCTCCCCTTTTCATGTCTTTTTGGGCAGATTGTGCGCTATGAGACTGTACATTGCCTCACAACGCCGCAAGAGAGGTACGACCTGCCTACTGATTTGAGACCCGCCCCGTGCTTGACTGATGGTCGGCTTGCCGTTACCAGGTAGAGATACGACCGCTCCTTTTTCTTGTTCTTGCTAAAACATCAAAATACAGCCACTCATGAAATGTCCATCAACGGTATCAAGCATAAACGGAAAGACGTAGCGTTATGCGGGTGTGTCCGGAGGCCTATACGGTCTACATCGTCGGGAAAGTAGGCCATGCTCCTAAAGCTTCACAGTTGCTATGTCTCTTTCCCTCTTTCTAGCAACCGTCTTTTTATGGCTCTTTCCTTCTAACGGCCGCAGTCATTATCTTGCTCCCGAAAGGCGTCTCCGACCCCGCCTTCACGATGTCTATATAAAGCAGTACTGATGTCTTCTTTCCTTCTTGCCATTCGTCTTACCATCTCCTCTCCCACACACACACACACACACACACACACACACACACACACACACATCCAAAGCTTCTTACATCTACGCATAAAATGAGTCGCCACCACGGCTATAAGCTATCCAACTCAGCGTCCGGAAACGGAACCCGATCAAGATACGCCGGAACGACCGGGGGCACGCTTCCCAGGCCGCCGGACACAGTAATCATGGAGAGGCCCCATGCTTCTCGACGTTCCAGACCGACTGACGGTAGGGGCTCCAAGAACGGAAAAATGGCCAGGTCGAAGTCCTACACCTCCAGGCACGCTGGAAGGCCTGGGGGCACGGGACCCATGCCGTCCAGGGAACCCGTGCCATCCGGACGCATGGTCAGGTCACGATCCCACAACGCCTCCAAGTCCGATAGAAAGCCGAGAGGCATGGGCTCTGCCCTGCCCGACAGGAAGAGCGGATCAAGGTCGCAGCGCCCACGGGGCGCGGGTTCTAGCGGGGCTCGATCGCGCTCGAAGGGCGCGGGAAGGAGGGCTTCCGGAACTTTGGGAGGCACGCTCCCGAGGCCCCCGGACACTTTGATGAATTCGGATGAAAGGCGATTGGCGACGCGAATGGAAGCGATGAGCGACAGGGATAATACTCCTCCCAGGCAGAGGCGCCGCCGAAAGAGCGACTCTCGCCCGCGTCAGCGCGCAAGGAAGGCAAACCCGGACGCCCCCTTTGGTGAAAAGATTCTCATCGGGCTTTCCAAGTTGTTCCACGGTAGGCCGAAGCCAAAAGAGTGAAGAGCTACGGCACAGATAGAATATTTAAGTAAACACGGGTCCCTTATACCTTAAACTCTTTGTCATTCTCTTACATTCCCTGAAATGGAGAGCGGTGACCACATCGTAGACGCGTAGGCTCCGTCGCGTCACCTGCGAAGGTGCCAATTGTGTAAGAGCATTATGCTGCATTCAGTGAGGCAGAGGCTTGCGATACGAAGGAGGCGGAGGGGGGCTTCCCGGTTGCAGCAACATGCATAGGCAAATTGAGCCAATAATAATATTACAACTAAACCAGGGCAGGATTTTTAGCTAACACCAACTTCACGAAGACGCCGAGTCTACCCTATCCTCGACCCCACTTGCAAACAATTACGCACCTCTCGACCCCGTATATATAGTTGTCGGAACCCGGCCTGCCATCGGTGTACAAGGGGTTGCAGGTGAGTGGTGAGGCGCTACTCTACGAACACGGTGAATGAGCACAAATGCTCCGGGGACTCAGTCAACCCGTTGTTGCTGTTCTCTCTTTGTTCTCTGAGGCTGTCGATAGACTGCTTGCTTTCTATCGTCTACTCCACAGTGCTACCGTATGTATTTCTACCTGGGTTGCTAGCCGCCCCTCTGATGCTCGCTCCAGCTGTCATGGTCGTTGCTAACACGTGCTTGCACTAGTGTCTATCGGACCATTGTCCTCATGTGAGGACATTTGTCCTCATATGAGGACAGTATTCGACCTATTTTATTCATGACTTCCGCTGCCCCGGCAAGAAAGAAAATAGTGCTACCGCCACCGTACTTGACTTCTGACATGGGACCAGAAAGAACTTTGTGAGAATTGCAGGTTCTCGGTGGTCGTTTTTAGATATGTCTGGAAAAGATGCTTTTTTAAAAAACCACCCTAAATCCGCATGTAAAATAACTTTGAAACCAAAAAAGCCAGTTCAGAAAGGCAACTTGGTACTCAATCTGCATTATATTCTTAAGCTTTTTGTGCATTCAAAGCTGCTAACCCGGTGTTCTGCAAGATGCTATTGCCGAAAACAAGCACGTTAAATAAATAATGATTAAGGTATCTTTTTGAATATTCAATTTAATGTATATATTTTTGCAAAAAAAGAGCCGAGGACAAAATTAATTCCAGATCCGATTTTCTTTGTCGCACTTCCAGGGACAGGGAGATGAGAGACAGAGGAGGCAGGGAAAGTTGTCCGTGGTGTCAGGGGTGTGCGGATCAGTCGTTGTGGGGAGATTGTAAGCAGAGCGCTGATCGAACTCGTCACTGACGGTGGGTGGGTGGCGCGCGTCTGGAAAGGGCATTCCGGGACGCGTAGGCGAGGGACGGCATGCGATTATTGGCAATCGCGACGTGGCGCGAGAGCTGCTCCGGGTGGGGAGCATGACGGCGTTGCCGTGCGTATCGCCACCGAGTAAAGAGGCGGCCTGCATGGATCGCATCAACCCCCTGAAGCCTCTCGGCCGCCGGCCAAGAAGACGGCGCGCGGATGTGCAGCTGCCCGGCGGGGGTGCGCGATCAAAACGCGCGGGCGGCCACCTGTTGCGCGCCGGCGGAGAGGCACGAAGGAGGAGGGGCACGAAGGAGGAGGGGCACGAAGGAGGAGGGGCACGAAGGAGGAAGGGAACGGCAGGGGAACAATTCTCTATGTCTGTGCGTTGTGAATGAGAAGATGAAAGCTCAAATTTATGGTAAAATTGGTAAAACATGGAAATTTATAGTCACATTGAAATATATGGTAAAATTGAAATATATGGTAGAATTGAGGAAAAAAGTTGGCCTCGTTTGCCACTTTTCGTCTCACACGTGTGGACCTGTGCACATGGGAACCTGTGCACGTGTAACCATCGCCTCTTAACAGTGTTAAGTGTTTTTTGTTTAGGGGGGTGATCAGGTGCATTTTGGTGGCGACAGACGGGTGAAATTGACTTTTCTGTTGTGAACAGGGTCCGAATCATGAATTGTTGTTGCAAAAGCGGGGCGAAAGGAGGAAAAACAGCAGCATGATGGACCCGAAAAGCGAGATGTCACCTTCGGATCTCTCTTGTCGCCCGTCCAAAACAACAAAGTCTAAGCGTGTCGCCGGTATAGTAGTGTAAAATGACCAGTAACCGAGGATTTTAGGGGATCTCAAGCACGACATTTCCAGAACGAAGGATATTGTGGGGATATCTCAAGCATGTTTCCATAATCTTTTCAAAATGCGCGTACTCCCTCAAACTATGGCCCAGGCAATTCGACACCTAGCCACTGTGGAAGAGGGATTAACATCTCTTTTTGACGCCGTCTACCAGGGGCCAGAAGACCCCTTCCGTTTCGGACACCACTGCCGGGCTACCGGCTGGTGGGGGAAACCGCGTACAAGTACTGTACGACGCGTTACTCCCGCGATTACAAACCTGGATGGAGGAATTCCTCGCTGAGGAATTACCCCAGGTCGTCCAGGTTTGTCTCGACCGAACGGTACTCGGGCTGGTGGCGGAGCAAGCGGACGCCACGCTCCGCGCCCTGCTGGACGAGAAGATCGCCCCCCTCGTACGCGACGAGGTGGTGGCCGCGCTCTCCGCGGAGGAGGACGAATCTCCCACCGCAATGGCTCTAAAGGGAGCTATTAGCTCCGCCGTGGCCATTCGTCTGGCCACGACATTTACAACCGAAACGGGAGGCGCGGCACCGCCGCCGGCGCCGCGCCATGAAACCGTTCCGGGCTCAAGCAATTATATCGCTGATCCGATCGGCGCCGTACCCCGGATTGATAGGATGGACCCTCACCCGGAGGGTAGAGCCATCTATCTCCCAACCGTTCACGGTGCTACAGGGAGGACTACAGAAAATGTCCTCCCCATACTCGCCGGTACAGGTGACCCCCGCGGGACAGAAAACCGCGTGGGGCTCCCCGAGACAGAAAATCGGGACCCGTACCGGTTGAGCACAAGACGTGCACCCGGCACGCGCAGAACCGAAGCGGAATACACCCAGTATTCCGACGCAGAAGACTCCCGTCACAGGACGGATGAAAACCGCGAAGAACGCCGCTGGCGACACCGCGATAACCGCGAGGCACGCCACGGGCGATACCGCGATGCCGGAGGGGGAGGATACCCCTCCGATGACGACCAATCCGGTTCGGAAGGTTCGCGCAGGCGGGGCCACAGGGCACGCCGCGATAGAAGCCGAGACCGTCACCGGCAAGAACCGTCCGACTCGGAAGACTACAGTACCGAGTCGGGTGAGGAGCGTCGTCGCTCAAGCAGACACCGCCGGGCTGTGCCAAGGGGCGACGAGCGACGGCCTACGGTAATCAGGCCGCTCAATGACCTGTTTACCAAGGCCGTCAACTACAAGACCTACCGCCTGGAACGTCGTAGCTCGCGCTACGACTCTACAGTAGCGCGGCACATTAACCGTTACCGGAAGAAACTGGACGTGCAGATGAGGTCCCACACGTTCAGTGGTCAAGACCCGATTGCGGTATTGAGATTCCTCGCACGCCTCAAGATGGCGTGCGACCACAACGGGATCACCGAGGGAGCCGCCGTGTGGTGCTTCCAGTTCTACCTCACCGGTCAGGCTCACGCCCTACTCCAGTCCCGTCTCAATGGAAACACCATGGCGGTTGACGTGGAGCGGCGCGAACTGCTCAGGACGTACCCGCAGGTTGTCAACTTTTTGTTGCGTACCTATGCGACCGATGAGGTAATTTCCGAAGCGGTTGGTGACGTGACCTCCTTCCGTCAAAGTTCGAACATGACGGAGGAGGTCTACAGTAACCACCTCTGGGACAAGGCCCTCCGATGCGGTACGGTATTCTCCGACCGGCGGTTGAAGTCCCTATTCGTCGAGGGGTTACTTCCCGCCACGTGCGCGCAGGTCCGCAACTACCTTGCTACGCACCCGGATGTGGATTACCAATCCGTGGCTCGATACGCGCAAGCGATCGGGGAAACCAATCGAGCTTCCCGCCGGCAGGGGATGTCAGCCATGGCATCCCGGGAGCCGTCCGGAGCGGCCAGAAGATTCGAACGTACCGCCAGGACACGGCCCGTGCTGTCGGTTGAGTCGGCATCCGACATTCCGACAGCTCGAGGATCCGTGGCAGAAGAAATCTTGGCCGTGACGGACCACACCGCGACGCCGAGCCCGTTAAGCTCGCCGCCGACGAGTTATTACCCGTCGCCGGCAGCCTCGGCATCAGGCGCCGCGGGTCCGCCCGCCAACCCGGGCGATGTGCGCGCAGGACCGTACGGGAGGCAGGGGCAGAACCCACGGGTTCGGTTCTCCAGTGAGGGATTCCCCGGACCGCCGCCGTGTCGGTTCTGCCTTGGCACTACGCACCGACAAGAGGAGTGTCCCGTCGTTGCCGATGCGGGCCTGCGGGCCAAGCTTCTGGAGGCACGAGAGGGCAACTACCAGAAGCTACGCATCCGGCAGGGCCTCCGTCTGGGATCCCCGTTCAACCGCCAGGGGCCGTCCGCTTGGAGAAACCAGCGTCCGACGGCCCCCGCGGGCGTGAACGTGATAGAAGAGCCGCACCACGGCCCTACTGAAGACCACGTGGTGCAAGCCGCGGAGGAAACCCGCGAAGACCTGCTGCTCTCGGGGGAAGCCGGGGAGGACGCGTAGAGGCGACGACGTCTCTCCCCGTGCCAAGCCTCAGGAGCTCAGGCACCCCCGAACTGGTTGCGCCAGTGGAAGCGCAACCGGGGAACCGAACGGAAATCCGGGCCATCTGCTTCTTCAAGAAGCAGAATTATAAGGTTTCCGCCACGGTTGGCCAAAAGCAGGCGCTGATGGTCGCCATCACGCCAGTGCTCAACTCAGGAGCCGGCCCGAACCTCATCCATTTGCGGTGTCTCGCCGAGTCATGGCGACCGTCGATAAAACCGGTTCGGAGCCCAGCGCTCATTGACGCGTCAAACCGCGCAATGAAAGCTCTAGGAGAGATCTCCTTGTTTGTCCGTATCGGTGAATTTATCGCGCGCATCCCGTTCTTGGTGGTGACGAGCCTTGCCGTGGACTGTATCCTCGGTACGACCTTTTTCGATCGCCACGTCAAGGCGATCCTCCCACCGCAACGGAAGGTCGTGTTCCACGACGCGCCACCCGTGGCGTTGGTCGGGACAACCCCCTCGACGCACGACCGCAAGATGGCCTCGAGGAGTGCGGTGCGACACCTACCGCCGTCGGAAAAACCCGGGCGGAAGCAGGCGGCATTCCCGACCACGACACCGTCACGGAAAATCCGCCTCGTCAAAGGGGTGACAATCCCCCCGATGACGCAGGCCCTCGTGAGGGCCGCCACGCCGGTAGGGGGTCTATGCTTTTTGCAGAACTCCCCAAAAACCGCGCACAAGAACCTGACACTCATGGCCCAGGGGGTCATGGACGTGGTCCCCGAAAAACCGTTCTCGGTAATGCTCAGCAACTTCGGGCACCGCCCGGTGCACATTCCGAAGCATACCGTGATCGGCCTGGCCCTACCGTCGCCCACTCACATCCTGACCCTTGGCGAGTCGGCCGCGGAAGCGGCCGAAGCTAAGGAAGGGGGAGGGATATTTAATTCCAAAGTCTCAACCGCAGGGAATGGCGCGGGAGAATCCATCCACAACCGCACGGACAAGGACGTGGCTGAACAAGCCACGCTGCCAAGGGCGCCCCTCGGGGCGGACGGACCGGATAAATCCGAAGACACCGCCGCCCTTGAGGAGGACCCCAATTCCTGGCGGGAGGACGTCCATATCGGTGCCGAGGACGAGGAAGTGCGCTCGGAGGTCCTCGAGGTACTGTCCGAATTCAAGGGGATGTGGACCGGCCGGTTGGGAAAAATCGGGGCCACGAAGCACCGGATTGAGCTCAAGCCCGGTGCTCGCCCGATTTACCAGGCGCCTTACCGCGCCGGACCAACCGCACGGGAAAAAGAGAAAACGGAGATCGACCGCATGCTCCGGGCAGGGGTAATCGAACCCGCCACGGCCGAATGGGCAAGCCCCATGGTATTCGTCCCTAAAAAGGATGGTACCATGCCGTTCTGTGTCGACTACAGAAAGCTCAACGCAGTCACCGTTCGGGATTCCTATCCGTTGCCGAGGATGGACGAGTGCATCGATTCCCTCGGCGACGCTACTGTCTTTACCACGCTGGATTGCAACAGCGGGTATTGGCAAGTAGAAATCGCCGAGGAGGACCGCGACAAGACGACGTTCGCGTCGCACTGCGGGTTGTACCGTTTCCTCCGCATGCCGTTCGGTTTGAAGAATGCCCCCGCGACATTCCAGCGGGCCGTCGACATTATACTGTCGCGGGTAAAATGGGAAACCGCACTAGTGTACCTGGATGATGTTATCATCTACTCCAAGACCGTAACGGAACACTTCGCACACGTCCGCGAGGTTCTACGCCTGCTGCGGGATGCGGGTGTGTCGCTGAAGTTGTCAAAGTGCGCTTTCTTTGACACTTCAGTCACCTACCTGGGACACGTGATTCGACCAGGTAGGCTGGAGGTCGAGCGCCGCAACGTGGTCGCCATCGAGCGCGCTCGACCACCCCAGAACCAGACGGAATTGCGGTCCTTTTTAGGGATGTGCAATGTCTACCGTCGGTTCGTGAAGGGCTTCGCAAAAATAGCCGCACCGTTAAATCGGAAGACGGGGAAAAATCAACCGTTCGAGTTCGAGGTACTCACCGATGAGGAATACGAGGCGTTCGTGGAGCTCAAGAAACGCCTCGTGTCACCACCGATTCTCGCGTTACCCTGTCACGGAAAGAAGTATACCCTGGATACGGACGCTTGCGCGTACCAAGTCGGCTGCGCCCTGCTACAGGAGCAGCCGAACGGAGACCGTCTACCGATCGGGTATTGGAGCCGCGCCCTCACGGACGCGGAGAAGAAC